GTACTACGGAAAAAATAATTACCGTAAATATGCTTTTACACTTTAATTATTACAAATGAAATGCCACGTTATTAATGTAATTATTTATTCCGTTTGCAACAATAAGGAATAATACATTTTGACTAGTCTGTAAGATTACTAGAAACTAATTTTTTTTTAACAAGAGAGGGAAATTCTGAAAGTGCAATATAATTTCAATTAATTGATAATTAATGTAATTTGCCGATACATGTATATGTGCACATATCATTATATCTATTTTAGCGTGCAATTGAATCAACGTGAAATGCTATTAATTCTAACGATTTCATTTGAATAGATTTAATATACGTAGTGCAGAATAGTTTCATTCCAATTAATTTTACTCTCGAGATAAATAATTTAATACCGTTTCTCGTGTGTAAAGCTGTTTGAATAATGAAATTGAATATAACGGACTTTTTAAAGTGTAACGATACAATCGCGATTCGGTTTTGAAATTTCGTCAAAGCGGACTGTCCGAGCAATGCGAATCTTAATCGCGCGATCTCTCGTTGTGTGACGGCCTTAAGGGTACGTTCACCCGTCGCAGATTCTCCTCCGTCCTCCAGCGGCCGAACAACAACCGCGTGCATGCGAATTCCGCGAGTTTTATTTAGAACATCGAATTATTCTAACGTGACGAGTGCGCTCGCGTAAACGGGAAAAAAATAGAGCGATAGAGAAAGCGCGACGTAGGCACGTCGTAAATCTGATAGGGAGAGGTCGTAACAAATCGCGCATTCGCATTTTCGCATGTAGACTCGATTCGGGATGAAAAATGATTCGAGATTATCTCGTCTCCCGAATCTCTCCACTTTTGAGACTAAACTTTTCTCCATCTAATTGTACGGCAGAGATAATGACACGCGTAATTGCTTTATCGAACGAATCAGAGCGAACGAGAGTCTGAGAATTTTAATTAAAATTTTGCACATCGGATAAAAATGCATACTTTTGCCTACACGAAGCAGGCGAATTTAAAATTACGAAAATTGCAGAAGGAGCGGGTGCGCGGTGTTCTTTGAACTATTACAAAGTAACGAGGTAGGACGCGCGCGCTATCTCTTTTCGCGTTGGTAGGAAAGTAAAATCGTTGTTGCATCTGATAAAAGCCAGGCGGGTCGCGCACGCGCGGATACGTGCCCGTGCGTGTGTGTCGGTGTGTATCGGACACACGTAAACAAGTCCGCTGCATTCCACGCGGACCGGCTGTACCTGCTGCATGTAATCACGCTCGAATAATTAATTAGCTTATTCTGTATTACTTCAACCAAGTTAAAAACGTCTCGCCGACTAAACTAATCGCAAAGAAATTTTTTCATTATACCTCAATATTTATCGAGTAGACAGGCACGGTTTACGTAAATCAGCGAGATAATAAAATATTATACATATTTTTTTATTTGGAATTTTATAATTAAATATTAACGGTCTTGCGTGTATAATTTAATCAACTTTTCTTGTCAAGAAACATTCTTGATTTTAAACTCGATTAACTATAGTTTCAGTAACTTCATAATGAAAATAGTTTTGATGCAACGTTGATATACTGAAATAAATTGATAATGTATATACAGTAGAGACAAGAAAATTAATGTATATAACGTCACTTTTCATTAAACTTATTTTTAAGTAATTGAATTATTACGATCGAATTATTTTATCATTATTAAACATTCATGAAGAAAGAGATTTGATCTTTCCAATTATATTTTTTGATTAAAATTTATAAATATTCGCAGAAATTAATGAGGTTATATATATATATATATATATATATATATATATATAAATAAATGTTTACCGTAATTGGAATTTCTCATGACTTTATGCAAACTAATAGCGGTTACACGAAAATCAAGTTTCATGAAACGGATTCTCGCTGAGTTTGTGCCAACTTTCGGTTGGCAACGCCGTGCAGTAAAAATAGAGAATGCAATGTAATCAACTTTGAATTGCAGAGTAAACAATTTCAATAAAATTTTAATTAAAAATCGAATCAATGAAATAATATTACGAAATAATATAAAAGTATTATTGCAACGGACGTCGATTGCGATAATACGTAGGTATAATTATTGGCTAATATAACAAGGTTCCGTTCCAATAATCAACTGTACCATGCGAATATGCACCTGCACTAACATTCTTGGTTCCAGATTAATATATATATATATATATATATATATATATATATATAACAATTCAATAATTATAAAATAGTTTATTTTAGAATTATTTCGTCGATATATATTAAGATCTATTAAAGTTACAAAGATATGTAATTGAAATATAATATTTGAAAAATCATTAGTATATCATTAAGAAATCATTCCTTTTTGTAAAACATAATATTAATGAAAATATTCGAGTATACATTAATTTTAAAAACAATAAAACATCAATAAAAGAGATAAGAAAATTATATTTATTATTTAGAATAATTAAATTATCATGATACTTTTATAAAATATTTGATGAGTACACAATCAATTTATTTCATTCGAAATATGAAAATTTATATGTTTGTCTTTCTATTTTGAAAAAGTTTATTATAGTCGTATTGAGTTTTTTTATAGAATTTAATATATTTTCTCAATTATTACAATCTACTGGGTAATTTTATGAAAATTCTTCCTACGTTGTAAAAGTAACCGAAAACCGGATTGCCAGCAGCTGTTGGACAAATATTTTGCTTCGATAGTCAAGATGAAGCAAAGTCCCCATCCCAACCGGGCTCATCAATCACGTCAATTACACACGACATGGTCGATTCGCGATAACATGCGTCTGCGCGCGCGCGTTCGAAAGAAAATGAAAGAACAAAATAGATAAAGAAAAAGAGAAACAGAGGGAAAATGTATATAGCAAAATTAAAAAAAATTAGTAAAGTAATTTGCAGCAATATCGCTTTCGAACTGGAGCAAGGGAAAAGCGCTACAATGACGCTGACTTGAGATAATGCTTTCTATCGTATTGTTCGACATAATTGTCGATGAGAAAACGTTCAGTTCCTTCTGGAGTAATTACGAGGAACAAAAGGGTCAAAAGTAGCACCCACAGTTATGGGTTTCTATCTCTAATTCTCTCCCTTCCTCCTTCCTTCTCTCTCTCTCTCTCTCTCTCTCTCTCTCTCTCTCTTATTCACTTTCTTTCTCTTTTTATTATCTGAATATGGATTATATTCCAACAGTTGTTTTTGAAAAAAAGAAGCTATTACGAGCAATTTCTAAACTAGCACGCAAACTCGAAGACAATGACGAAGGGATATTTTGCTATTGGCCTTCATAATGTTCCCATCAAAGAACAATCCATGCACCCTCGACTCTTTTTTTCCTCGTGTATTATACGAATGAGAGAAACAATATTTCTTTTCGCTATAAATCGATTTATTGCCCCGGCCATGAACTAAATGCGTATCGATCGTTTCAAAAGTATAGCAAAATTTTGTTCCGCGATTTCGAATGAAAAAGAAAATATAAAGAGATGAATAAAAGGAAATGAACAGAGAATTAAATTTATGAAAAATAGAACTATCATATTGAAAGAATCCATCTCGCGCATTTATGTGTAGCTAATAGATAAAAGTGAAAAGAGAGAATGACAGAGATGGCGATTCCGAAGACGGATACTGATTACACAGTCGAGTTTGACTGCCCCTTCCGAAATAATCGGCCTGCAAACAGTGAAAATGACGAGCAAAGGGGTGCGCTTAATTGACGATGTCTCAATGGAACAACAGGGCAGGAAACGTGACGACCCCAAAAGCCACCCTAACAGCAGACGAGGGGTTAGCGTATCCTTTCAGACCTCGAAGTGGCTTTAAGGCCATACCAATATTTCACAAGTTTCGTTTGCCCGACCTTTCCTCTTACTATGCGCCCCGGGGCGTTCAACGTATTTCCGCATATTTGAATAATGCCTCTTTCGTGATTCGCGTGATTCGTTTGATTTAATCTCGTGCATGAAAATAGTTACATCGATGCGCCATGTTGTGATTATATGATAATTTCGATTACATTAGGTTGGCCAAATTAATCATATATACGATATATTCAATGTGTATACTTTAATTATGTATATGTATATATATGTATAAGACTATTTAAATTTATATTAATAAAATAAATAGCTTTTTTATGCATATGAAAATATATACGTATATTTTCTCTCTCTCTCTCTCTCTCTCTCTCTCTCTCTTTCTAAATGGAAAAATCGATATATTTGGTTGCAAAAATAGCAAAAGATTTTCTATTTATTAATTTCCTATAGAAGTATACACATTGAAATACTAATAAATTAAAAAAAATATCAAGAAGAACACAGAGAAGAAAATGATAAGGCCAAAGTATCATACGATACGTTCATTATCGACGCGATGGTCGGCAAAAGAGAAATTGCCGTAATCGTAAAGTTCACGCGCGTTATAACAACAAAGCATAATAAAATAGTTTAGCAGATATTATTTAGATAAAGAACTTATTTTCAAACTGCATTAATTATAAATCCATATATTTTAAAAATAAAGTTTATATATTACAAAGTTATACATATATAATTTTATAGCTATATAAATTACGTTATTAGATTGGAAAGTTCACGAAGAAAAACGTGTAATACATAATCTTTATTTATTAAAAATATGAGAAATTAATATAATTTGAACTATAAACTTTTCAAATGAGAATTAGCACAGTAATTAAGTAACATCTCGTTAAAATAATATATTCGCTGTTTTACGACCGTATATTAAAATCCGCCAAAAGTGTAGTCTCCGGTCATTTCCAGATAATCTTTATTTATTAAAAATATGAGAAATTAATATAGTTTGAACTATAAATTTTTTAAATGAGAATTAGCACAGTAATTAAGTAACATCTCTTAAAGTGATATATTTGCTGTTTGTTTTACGACCATATATTAAAATCCGCCAAAAGTCTAGTCCCCGTTCATTTCCAGATATCTTTAAGATAACTCACCTCTCCGTGCGTATCCCTCCTTCCGTCCGGTGTGTTCTCAGGTAAGAAATAAAGCCGTAAAGACGCCAAAGGCTGATTCGGTCCACGACTGTCCATCCACAGCAGCTGAAGTTCCCCAATGCTGACGAGATCGGCATCGCTCCACAATTTCGTTAGGAAGAAACTGCCGAGACGAAGAACACGGCCGTTACCTATCCTTACCGCTTTATAAAATGTGTAAGGGCCATGGCTGAAGCAAGCACCGCCCAATAACTGAAAGCATAAAAAATAATTTATAAAAACCTATACTTGACTTGTGTGTTTTTTCTCTAAAAAAGAAAAAAAAACGTATATTATATATGATGGAAAAAAGAATTTCACGTAAAATATGTTCTCTCTCTATATAATTTCCGTGCAATATTGCTTCTAATAATACGCTTGCGGCACATACGCCATTTAATAGTTATTCTCGTATCATTATTAATATTATAATTAACATACATTAATGCTTAATGAGAAATGCGTTTGAATATTACAATGTATTACGCTGCAATATTAATCGGTATTAATGATAAACAGATTGCATATTTATATTAAAATAAAATGGATTAACGTGGCAAAGAGCATATTTTTGTACGCCGACAATTTGAGCAATTTAATTAAAGATTATTCGATTGAGAGAACACATTTTTTGAAGCCAGCGAAAACTCGTTCAAGTCGGCTTTTAAAATATCATCTCTCCGGATACGACTACCGCGAAAGATTCGTGGTGGCGGCAGGGGATGATCCCACAGAAAAGCGGAGGGTTACGCCTCCCTAGAGAGTATTTGCAGTGCGAAGCACAAAGCACATGCACATTCGCACCATTACACATGCGTGTCTACGCACATGAGTAACGCGAGATAAACCGATGTAAAATGAGAAGGAAATCTTTGTGTTAAAAGTGGCACGTGGATTTTTGACTCGTGAAATGGACGCGATTAAAATCGATAAAGCGTGACTAATTCATGACCGCAAATAATAAAGGCTAAACACGCGCGTGAAAAACTAATTAATTGCCATCAGGATAAGAGAATATCCGATAAGGACGAAAATCTCTCGCTTAATGAAAAGAACGCAAAGTTTAATCTGTGTTTTTCATAAAAGAAAAGAAAACGATAAATAAGTAATGAAAAAAAAAAAACTTTTGCGAATGGTACAAGTGACGTTGATTTTACATCGTAGTTTTCTCTCCTCGTTGCCCTAGAAAAACTATTTATTATTCAATGAGAAAAATGTTTATTATCCGGCTCCTGAAAAAAATTCCGCAAACGAAAGAGCAAACGAACCGTGCACGCGGCGCGTACAGTCCCTCGCATAATTCTCGATTGATCTTTTATGCGATTTATGTTCGAATCTTTTATGTTGCGTCTCTTTTCTTTCTGTTAACAATAAGATTCGAACTGTGTCAACGCAGGTAATTAAAAAAACACGCGAAAGCAGTCACACCGGTTCTATGAGAGAGTCGAATGCGAGAATTCTCGCGTACATGCTTATGAATGTATCGATGTGTGTGTCATTCCACATACATATCAATCAGCAGAAATTATTCTGTATTGTCAATGCAAATTCTCCGAAGGTAACTTGTTCTAATTGCCGAAATTTTTGATGATATTCTACAGCGAAATTAATCACATTTTTATATAATTTCGTCGCTTTTATACGAGTTTGCAAAGAAGATGTAAATACCATTTGTCTCATTTTTTTCATATATTTTTCAATATATTGCAGCTACAAATATTAAATACCATGGTATACATATGGAACAATAAATGAAATGTATGAAAATATATTACGCGAATTTTTTCGCGGCCGCAGAAAAAGGATTGTTTTCGTAATTCAAAACACTCGATGAGAGAGGAAAAACACGATGAGAGATCCGCTCCCACTTACGACACGGACTGTACGGGCGTCTGCTGCTTTGCAGCGGAAACTTGTCCATTACTCCCTTTGCTTTATTTATCCGGGCGAAATTTCAAATGGATCGGATTTGGACGTAAAAGAGACAGGCGCGCAAAGATCGATGCTCGAGAATATTCGCGTAAAATGCTGGACATTTTTACTCAAGTCAATAAAATTCTCTCCTTTGATTTATTGTTTTATATCGTAACGCGTATATGTATACGTTTGTGTGAGAGAGAAAGAGAGAGACAGAGCACACAGTTTGACAATGTATCGACAATGTATCGATTTCATGGAGAAAGATGATTCTGAAAGGCTCATCTCAAGTAACAAGGTCCTTTAATTGTCGATTAAATGAATTCGATATTGGGTCATGTTGGTCGCACGCCCGCGCACGGGTCAGCCAGTCGAAACGTTTGTCGAAAACGAGCGAGTCTCGAGTATGCTTCGATATGCAAAATTGTCGCTAAGTCGCTCATTACTGCGCAGATCGACAAGCGAGCGACGTCGCCTCGCGCTATCAATCGAGCCCACGTTACATAATTGAATCAATAATGGCATCGGAACGACCGCTCTGTGGAATGAGCACCACTGCCATAACTATTTCCAATGTTTTAAAAGTACAGTCGCGGCCAAGAGTTTGTCCGATCTGCCGCGAAAGACGAGCGGGCGAAAGATCAGCCGGCGATGGTATTTATAGCAGTTAATCTCGTTTCTCCGCCACTCTGCATCGCACGCGAAACTTAGTCGTCATTGATATCGCTATTGCATCTTTACCGCGCTCTTTTATCAACACGGACAAGTGCATCGGTGCAAGAGGCGTGCACGCATCCTCCCCCTCCTCCATACCTACACCACACATCCACACTTCCGCATATATATATATATATATATATATATATATATATATATATATATAATAAGATACTAACATATACATGAAACAACAAAATTGAACATTTATGTTGCACTAAGGATACATAAACATTGTTCTAATTTTTATAATTTAAATTTGTTCCACGAAATCTAGGTTAATAATAATAATAATAATAATAATAATAATAATAATAATAATAATAATAATAATATAATGATAATAATAATAATAATAATAATAATAATAATAATATAATATAATAATAATAATAATATAATAATAATATAATAATAATATTAATATAATAATAATAATAATATAATAATAATAATAATAATAGTAATAATAATAATAATATAATAATAATAATAATAATAGTAATAATAATAATAATAAAGAAAATAAAGCAAAAGAGGCATGGACTTGTTTTATCTCTTTAAAAATAGATAACTAAAAAAGATAACTAAAAAAAGAAAAAATATATCGAGTATAAAGTTATTCGAGAAATTCTTGTTCGCCACTAGGTATACGACGCGCGCGCAAAGATAATTGTTATCTTTCTTAATAATGCGTTATCCGTCGAGAATATACCGTAACATTACGCTCGGAACTTCTGCAGCTTTATATAATGATCGTTGTCTGTTTTCCTCTTGCAATAGAAACACTCGCTAAAACGGTCGGGGGAGAGGGGAAAGAGAAGCGAGGGAAGAGGAGAAGAAGGAGGAGAAGGAGACGACGAGAATCAGAGGGAGAGAGAGCGAAAAAAATGCGTCACGTAACATTTTAAGACCACTGAGTAGAATAATATATAATATACATATATAGATGTAGGCGTGTGAGTGTATATATGTATATATAAAGTTTTCTATTTTTCTTTTCAGTAAATGTTCATGTTTATATTTTTCTCAGTTATATGAATATCAAAAATGCATTCACATGGAACAACAATCATTATATTGCTCTATTATACTGCATACAATATTAACCAAATTCGAGAAAGGAGAATATAAATTCTATTAATATTTATAATTCCAGTAATATTTTAAAATATTTGAATAAATTAATATTCATAGAGCGTGTGTTTTGTATTATCTTTCTTCAAAATATTTTGCTCGCATTTATCTAAAATACGGAAAAACATAAAAAAAAAACGATCTTTAAATAAGAATTTAAATCAGAATCGATTATATCTAAAAAAATTATGTCGCATAGAATTTTTTGAGGCTATTATGCGCGTCTCAAAGATCAATGCTATTTCTTTCTTTGTCTCTATTTCTTTAAAACAATGATTGTATTTTTCTTCTATTTTTTCGAAATACAAGATTGCGTGCTAAAAAAATCAAAAATCAAAATACGAAATTAATAAAACATAAATAACCTACAGTCGTGAATATTATATATATTCGAAGATCCATTGCTTGCTATGCCGATGCGTTCATCGATTAGAAAAGATCCGAAAATGTTGAATAGTCTCACCATATCGCTTACGCAGCACTTCATTGTACATGCGACATTGTATTCATTAAACATGCAAAAAGAATGGGCGGACGGCGAAGAGAGTAGAAAGGCGGTGCGCGAAATTAGTAAATGCAAACGACTAGAATAATGCGAATAAATCACTGTTGATAGCTCTTAATAGTACTGTACTAATGGTTTTTATATAATAGCTCGCATTGCCGGAAATATAACGAATGATACATCGCAATCGTCTCATTATCGAGAGAAGGCGTGGATATAAACGGCGATAATTGAAATATTTTTATCGGCCACAGAAGCGCGGTCATGAACAAAGGAAAGAAAACAAATGAAATCGCGCAATACCAACGATTACAAATTACAATCGCGGCACTATGTACGATTCCGAATCTCGTAAGGAGCCCCGCCACGATCGGAAAATCGCCAAACGTCAAATATTTAAAATCCCACGTCGACTGACATTTGAGATGCTCGTGATTGCGAAACGCAACGTTTGCATTATATAATTAACCTTTCTCTCTCTCTCTCTCTCTCTCTCTCTCTCTCTCTCTCTCTCTCAGCGTGCGCGAATCGGATAGCTCTTCGTTCATATCTCGAGTAAAGAGATCTCCGCACGCGCGCGACGGGTCAGTGAGAAAAAAACGCTGCCGCGCACCCAGGGGATCGAAAAAAGGACGGGATATAGGGCAATGCACCCCATCCCTCCGCTCATTCCCTCCCTCCTCTCCTCGGTCATTGTATATCCTCACCGCGTGTAATCGCATATATACGAAGCTGTCCGCCGCCAAGCCACCGTCCCTCTCGATCTCCCTTTTCTATTTTCCCTCCTTGTTACTGTGTCTATATTCCTGCCCATCTGTCTCTCTTTCCGATGATATTCCTCTAGAAACTCGTCGCGCTGTCTCGCTCGCGCTCGCGCGTCGCTTCCTCACCGCTCGACTTCTCTCTTCCTCTAGAGGCGAATGAGTTTTACTAACCG